GGTCAGTATTTACGCAAAAACATAAGATGTAAAGAAGATGAGTGTGCCGGAGCTGGGATGGAAGAGATTAATAAGAGGTTGAAATTTTAAGTAGTCAGGGAAGCCTTCAATGCAACGTTAATTTTCGACCAAAAACTGAAGGAACAGGAGATGGTGGTATGTAAGGGGGAAATGTATTTCCACTAGAGGTTACAGAAAGGGCAAAGGCACTGAGCCAGCTGGGCAACTGGCGTATTCAAGGACAGCAAGGAAACCACTGTGGATGGAACAGAATGAGTGAGGACGAAAACACTGAAATACCACTTAGGACCTTACGGAGGATGAGAATTTTAACTTTCACTCTGAGATGAAGAGCCATTGAAGGGTTTGAGATAAGGAATACCTTGATCTGGCTGAGTTTTAAAGGGATCTCCTGAGCTCCTTAATTAGGGAAGAGCACTTAAAAACAAACAAACCAACCAACCAACCAACCCAGACTAAAGACAAATGACTATGAGAGCAACAAGAAAGAGGGAGCAGATGAAACAGGAAGAAAGGGTAGATTTGCTTACCTTCATTCATCAGATACTTAGTACACTGTTAGGTGCTGCTTAGGATGAAAAAATTGGTTAGTCGTGTGTTCTCCCCTCACAGGGAATTTATAGGAGGTAAAACACGAGTCAAACTATCACACACAGTAGAAAACAATGAGCAAACGATAGCTTTCCATCTGGGTTGGCAAAGAGGGAGAATTAGGGCAGTCTTCTTGAAGCAGTGGGTGTTTTAGCTAGCCACAAAACCTGAGCTCCTTCACAGCATGGGTTCTACCGCTTCCTGATTTCTAAACTCCCAGCACCTAAAACAGTGCTTGGCACAGTCAGTGACCAGGAGATACTTGTGCATGATGACTGAACGGACGAGGGTGGGCAGATGTAGGGAGGAGGGCATTCAAGCAAAGGGAACAATATAAGTGAATCACAACAATGAAGAGTTACAGATTTAATCTGGCAGAAGGAAATGAGCATAGGGGGAGAAGAAATTAAAACCTTGGCATAGGATTGCATCACAGAAGACCCTGCTGTCCTGTGGAGGTACCAGTGATGAGAAGGGAACTTTGTACTGGAAAGATGAATGTAGTAATACTGATAGATGAAACAAACGACCAATGGTGGAAGGAAGCTAGAGACCAGTTTGGATGGTATTGTAAAAACCCGGACAGGTGACAAGGATCTCAGTCAGCTTATTATCACTTGGTCCCCTCATCATTAGTACTTCCACTATACTGAGCAAACATCTGTAAGCCTTACCACAGATGTGGATTTACACGAACTATAATTATTTTACTCATCTGTTTCCTTCTCACTAGCAATATAGCATGTTTAGCACTGGTGGTGGACATTTCTAATTATCCCCCGATTTCCCTTTTTCTGTTTATTACACTGATAAAATGCCTCAAGTTTTTAGCTGGACATGAGCTACCAGCCAGAGACTCCATTTCCCGGCCTCTCTTACAACAGGATGCTGTCATAAGACCAAGTTTTGGCAATGGATTTGAGCTTGAGTGACAAGTGCAAATTTTAGGACACGCATTCCTAACGAAGCCGCCGGTCCTCCATTTCTTCCTGCCTCTTCTTGTAGCCCGATCCTGACCCGTTTTTCTCTCCCTATGCCTGAAGTAGGTGTTAGAGATTATGCCCTTTTGCACTTATAAAATTTTCATAGCCCTTTTCCTGATGAAATAGGTATGGGGGCCTGGGAGTTGGGTCAAGGGTCAATTTTTCTTAAGTTTTTATAAAAAGGGAAAATATAGGCTAATGACCAAATTCTGGCCACTGGGATATGAATGGAAGTGGGGTATAGTGTCTGGGTCTTTCCTCTAAAAGGAAGTTCTCTGCTTTTTCTTTCCTTCTTTCTGGGGGTAGGGATTTGACCCGGGTGGTGGTAAGACCACCTTGACCCATGGCATCATCCTACAGGATATAAAGCAAGAATACACAAGTAGTGCTCAACAAACTTGGACTTACATATAACAGAAACAACTTCCTTCTTAGTTAAACGATGGTTATTTGGACTCTGTTAAAGCAGCCAAATTGATATCTTAATACATAATTTATAAATATCGACCATTACCATTATGTGTTGAATGAATGTATGATTGGTAAGTATAAACATCTCTCTATAAGTAAGGTAGTATTAAATAATTATTTCTTCCATTCCCCTAAGCTTTGAACATAAAACACTTATAGTTTATAGAAAAGGAAAGCTACGGTACAAAGCTTCAGTTGAAGTCAACTTCTGTATCATTATAACTCTGGGTCTGAATCTTAACTTGCTTTATGACAAAGTGTATTAGCACAGAAAGCACCTCTGTCAGTTGAGATTAAACCAATGAAACACTGAGCTACTGGTTTCTGGTTATAGGTTCTAACATACCATGAAACAAGGCCTTTAAAAGGAAATTGGACTATGAAATTTTCAAATTCTGTATGTCCTATCAGTCTTCTTAGGCAAATATAACAATATGAATTTGATTATTAGTCTTTGATTTCAGTAACTTTCTCCTTGCTTGTTTTCATACAGAATGCAACAATTTCAAGGAAGTAAAGGAAGAGAAATATCTGATAGTGAGTCTTAAAAACTGGCCATTTTTGTTCATTATTACTTTAGAAATATTTTTTATTCCTATACAGATTATCACTGTTTAAATAGGGATCTGTTTGTACAGCCCATCTGATCAAATCTGTTTACGATCAAGTGTATTTACTTATGTTACTAAAGCATTCTCAAACACCCAGAGTGCCCACAGAACTCTTTAGGGTTTAGCTGTGTTTGTCTTTTGTGGAAGAGCACTGGGTGGTGACTTGCTTAATTAGCAAGTGTTTGAAAGGTAACTGAAGGTGAGCCCCAACACTGGAAAAATGACTTAGGTGTCAGCTTTGGGACAGAGGTTGTAATTTAGAAAAGCTGGAGACTGGCACATTGTTTTCTGAATAGAAATAAACTTTAAGAAAGAAATAGAGCTACTCTGACTTTTTAATGCCAAAAGGTTTATGCTGCTGAAGACAGGAATGAAATGTAAATATTGAATATAAAAAGGAAATGTTTTATTTCCTACACCACTGAAGCCCTTTTGTATAAACAGTATCTTTCTATTATCAAGACTTTATTATTGTATGGTCATTCTCCTCGGAGGACAAAGGACAGGGACTTTGATTAGCTGATCCCAAATCTTCACAACTGTGCCTCTGGCCAGCAAGTTCTTGGGTTAGCTAACCAAAAAAAAAAAAAAAAGAGAGAGAGAGAGAGAGAGAGAGAGAGAGGGATAAGGGGTTGCTGATTGAATGAATGAATGAGCAGATAATGCTTTCATCTATAAATTGTAATTTCCCACTAAATGAAGTGAAAGAATGACACATCCTGTTTTGAGGGTTTTCCTGGAAATACAGCTATTACACTAAGAGACTTTCCCTAAAAATACAAATATAAGGAGATATTTAACTCAAATAAGTTGTTTATAAAGAAGGCTGCTTCACAATGTTTTTTGTTATTTTAGTTTTGTAAGCATATTTACTTCATTTGGTAATAGTGGAATACTTAATTTTCCAGGAACTATGACTTTAGGTATAAGGCTGTGTTAGAAAATAAACATGGTTATAAACATAAATTTAGTAAAGAGAGAATCTGACAAATTTTCTACATGTCTGTGAACAAATATAACACTGAAAAAATAACCAAGATTATAATTAGAAATACTGTGTCGAAGAAAAAACAAATAATTAGCTTGAATGGTTATAGTATTTTATGTTGCTGATAAGTGAGTCATCTTGACCCCCGTGACCACCGATTTATGTGAAAACCATGCAAAAGGACTGCAACTACAACAAGCCAGAGTTTTAGTCTATTTCCACAAATTTTCACTATTGTAAGCCAACTGACACATATTCCAATAATCCAAATATCATTTTGTGTAGCAGTATGGCAATCTGACCTAGGGATCTAGAAGTTATCTGTTTCATTCATGTAGGTAAAGGATGGGGCTTAGGAATAAGGTATATATTAGACTTGCAACATTTACGTAAAAGAAATAATGTGATACTGGAAAGCAACACTATTCATTTAACATAACGAGCTACTATACAATAAGTCAGATGCTCCCAGAGTGTAAATTGTACAAATCTGAAAGCTGCATTTATTATTAATATCTCATTCCCAGAGACAGGGGCTGGCTTAGTCAGTCAGAGGTAAAACCTGGTTTAGCATATCAAATTTAAAACTGTTTAACAAATATTAAAGTTTTTTTTAAAACCTTTCATGCATGTAGCTAAATCACTTGTGTGCATTTTAAACCTTCCCCCCCCAATAGTATTGAGAATATTTTAATTTGACTACTGCAAATAATAGAAATGAAATACGAATTATAGTAATAGAAATACTTGAACTGAATCTTCAATTTTTTAAAAAATTTATCATTTAAAAGGTCTGGAAATAGACTTCATATGAAATTGCCTAGCTCTAACAGGCTGAAGTTATATTGTAAGAAAGAGGGTTGTTAAGAGTAAATACAGGGATAGTCTAAAATTTCTTAGGTTGAATTGATGAGATTTTTTATTGTAGGTGATTTAATCAGTTCATGCTTCCAGGTGTGCATCAGCACCTGTCAAATTCTGTAAGAGTTTATGATTTCTAAGAACTTGCCTTCTAGAAGGCCCTTTGCTGAGGGGGGCTCTCCTAGGAATCAGTAAGAGGCTCTTTTGTATTTTCGTGTCGATAGTTTAAGAGTAATTCGGGGTGGTCTAGAAATCATGAGTTATTGGGAAGGTGCTTATAGATGGGATAGATCCTTTCTAACAACCTAGCAGGGACCTCCACTCTCTGCTGGGCGCCGTCTGCGGGGGAATTGCCATTTTTGCCAAAGACCCCCCAGGACACAGATTCGGAATCCATCTCAGGACAGGCCAGCATCTATCACCTGGCGTCCCCTGACTCGGAGCGAGTGCATTCAAGGCAGGAAGATCACTTACGACCGAGTTTTTCATCATGGCTTTGACTGTGAAGCCCTCAGAAACCAGGGAGTGAGGCTGGTGCACCGGGAGCGGCTGTTGTGCCAGCAGCTTGGTCCTCTTCGGCATCTTGTCTGGGCATTTGTTTAAGCTCAGGGTCTCTTTTTCTGCCACCATCTTCCTAGGAAATGTCTTGTTCTCATAAAACGTGTAGTAAAAGAATCAGTGGGTTTTACGGATGTGAGGAGGAGTTCGGGAAAAAATGTAAAAAGGCGCGTTACTGGTAGAAATTCACGCCCTCGCAGTGCCCAGGTTGATCCAGATGTTTGGCAGCTCCTAGGTGCAGCGAGTTGAGGGCGGGGAGGGGCGGGAAGAGGGAAGGACCGCGGCGAGAGAGGCAACAAGCTTCCAAAGGTGAGCCTCCTGGTTGCTAAGCGACGCGTCAACACTGCGGCCGAATGGCCCAGTCCCCCGGTGACGTACGTTTCCTGGGCCTGAATCCGGAATGGCGGCGGAAGGCCGCCTGCGGAAGGCGGGCGGCGAGCGGTGGGCGGCGGCCGGCGGGCCGGGTGACGAGAAACTACGCGGTAAAACTACGACTCCCAGAAGGCCTCTGGCTGCGCGTCGTCCGCGCGTGCGCATGCCGACAGCCGGCCTTAGGGGAGGCGAGCGCTGGAAGATTTAACCTCGGAGCCACTCTGGTGGGCGGCACGTGCGGGTGCCGTTCCCGTGTAGGTCACTCCATGCCCAGCAGCCTCCACCTGCCCAGTGACCATGATAGGTACGTGAGTGCCTGCCAGGCGTCTCTGCGCCGCCCCGCCGGGCCTCGGCGGACAGGGATCCCCAGGGTGTCCGCCGGTGTCAACTGTCAGTGTCAGGGCGGTCGTGCTCGCCCGTGTGCCCGCCGTGGGCCTCGCAGTGCCCGCCGTGGGCCAGGAGGAAAAGTGTGTGTTCCAAGCCCCCACCCCGCTCGTGGTTTGGCAGGCTTCCCACTGGAGACAACTTCTCCAGGGACCGTGGTGCGCGCCGCTGCGCCTCCCAAGGTGAAGGCTGGGTCGCGCGTTCGCACAGCGAGCGCGGCGCTCAGCCAGACTTGGGGCTTCCGTCTGCAGGTCCCTCGGGGCGCCTGGGAAGCTGCCTTCCGGGTAGGAACAGACTGGAACTCACCGTCTGCAGGTCTCTTTCCGGGGAAACCCTAGCGAAGCATTAAACTCTGGTGGAAGGTGCCTGCAATAATGATTAGGATCAAAGGAAGTTCCTGCTAAGGGATTTAAACGTCTTGCTCCCTCCGATTTTCCCTTTTAAATCTCTCATTGTAAGTCTGAGATGAAAGAATTAAGAGTAAATAACAAGATTAAATATTTGCCTAATGAATTATTATTGTTACCTAACACAAAATGACCTAGGTGCATTTTTGTGGTTAAAGCTTTGGAGATGGCTTATTGTTTTTAAACACTGTGATGTGTAAAATTAGCAAAGTTTCTCCCTTCTGGGGTTATTAAACCAAAAAATTTTTTTCTCCCTAGCGGTAATCTTTTGAAGTTAGTGGAACTGCACACAGTATGATTAGAAACCATTGCTTTTTTTTTTTTTTTTTTTTTTTAATGACAGAGACTTGCTCTAGATTGTGTATGTGAGATTTGGTGAGCCTATTTGGGGATTATTCCTGATGAGTGCCACTTACAAAACACTTTTGATTGCAATGAGTACATCTAAAGTCAAAAGTGATCTGTCCAGAAACATGAGAAGTGGATTTTTAAAATCCGTAAGTTTGTATGCACTCATAAAGTCTTAAGTCTCTTTTTAGGAAATTAATGTTAAAATGTAGAACACTCTACTCACTGGGAGAATCATCTCAGTGATTAACTGACACTGTCTTTGCAGCGATGCTAAAACCTAATGATGTCCAATTTTTCTTACCTTTCTAGACTTTTGGTGGATGACTTTCGAGAGTCATTAAATTAAGATATTTTTTTCTTCTAAATACATTTTTCATATAAACTTTTATAAATCTTCTTGAGATTTTTTAGGTGACTATTACATAGAATCCACTATAAACACAACTCTTAAACTGAATCAGAAAATCAAGTAGAAGAAATTTTCAAAATCCATGATGTCAGTATTCTTTTTAAAGATTTTTTTTTTTTCAATTCATTTGAGAAAGATACAGAGACAGAGAGAACACAAGCAGGGGGAGAGGGAGAAGCAGACTCCCCTCTGAGCTGGGAACCAGACATGGGTCGTGATTCCAGGACCTAGAGGTCATGACCCGAGTTGAAGACAGACACCTAACCATCTGAGGCACCCAGGTTCCCCTATGATGTCAGTATTTTATACGAAAAAAGTTTATATTTTATTTTGAGGACAGTTGGGCAAGTTTTATTTTAATTCAACTTAATCTAGTGCATGGATTTTTTTTTTAAGATTTTATTTATTTGACAGAGAGAGACAGAGAGAGCGGGAACTCAGCAGAGGGAGTGGGATAGGGAGAAGCAGGCTTCCCCGGAGCAGGAACCCCAATGCGGGGCTCCATCCCAGGACTCTGGGATCATGACCTGAGCCGAAGGCAGGTGCTTAATGACTGAGCCACCCAGGTGCCCCTAGTGCATGGGTACTTTTAAAAGCAAATTTATAGTAAAGCTGTATATAAAGACAGGGACTTAAGATCTAAAAATCACAATTCTAAATTATTATCTAATAAATTACTATATAAACACTTTGTTAGGATGAACTATGTTTAGGCAGTTTGTTTAGTTTATTTGGGATTCAGGGACGGGAGAAGAAAGAATATAATCTTCGGATTTGATTAGATAGTTATTAGTAACTTGTAATTATGGAGAGAATATAAGGTAGATTTTAAAAGATGTTTTTTTCCTCATATTCCAGGTACAATTTTACACAGTGCAAATAAATGTGTATTACAACATGCCCCTCCCAAGAAGAGCACCTTACATATAAAAACCATGTGGACAATGTGCAGTAAATTATTTTATACAATTAGTTGCATTGCTTAATTCTGTTGTCGGGCATATTTTTATAAAAAACTTCATTGCCAATTTTGGACTTGGTTGTATAGGAGAGTGTGGAAAGGAAGAGAGAGTGTTGGAAGGTAAGTGAAAGTGGAGGAAGAGAGAGTGTGCCTAATTCTGTTGGTGGGTGCATTTTAACAAAAATCTTAATTGCCAATTTGGTACTTGGTTGTGTTGGCAAGTGTGGAAAGGAAGGAGAATGTTTAAAGTAGAGGCAATTTAAAGGAAGTCTTGGAGTGATGGGTTTCCTGTTTCTGTGACTACACTTTGGGGCCAGGAAAGGCATTAGAGTTTATACCTAGTGATAAACTGGGGATCAAAATATAAATCAGTACATATCTGGGATTGTTTTTTTCTGTTAAAGACATTGTGCTACTCAGAACTTGCCCCTTTATGCCTATGCTCTTTTTAATTGCTACACCCTCTTTAATGCAAATAGTACTCTCCCACTTTATATAAATCTTGGCTTACTTTTGAGGAAAAACAAAAATAGGTGAGTTCGTACAATAGGAGTAAAGGGGATTGGCTCTTACCCCACTACCAGTAGAATTAACCTTCCCTTTACGTTCTTAAAAACTAAGATTCCTTCTCGGCACAGAGACTGTTTCAAAAGTACTTATATTTCTCACTTGGATTATGACTGCCATGTTAAATGCCCTGACCCAGACAGCCATAGAAACATAGTTTAATTGACATTGGTGATTATGACTTTGAGAAGTGTGGGGAAGGATATCAAGATAATAAAAAGCAGAATAGAAAAGCTTAAGAAAATCCTACTTAGAAAAATATAATTTTTGGCATCTTTACGTATTTTACCCTTTTAAAATGTAACAATTCTTTTTATTTAAATTGAATTTTAATAGTGATATTTGTATATTTGAATTCCTATAGAACTGGATTTAGGTATTTGAGTAGTATCAGGTATTAAAGTGCATGGATCTGTATACAATAGTGTTGTCAATATTAGAATTCAAATCCAGTATCTTAATCTTTAAAAATTTTTGATGTTTTTTAAAAAAATAACAATTAGAACGTGGTCACATCTGTATATTGCTTAAATTGTCTCTTAGAAATTATATATTTCTACCTATACAATTCCACCCTGCAGTAATTCTTGCCTACTTTTTTATTTTGTGGATGTACACAAATTATGTAATTATTCTTCCATAAATGAGCACTCAGTAGGTTTACAGATTGCTATCATCAGAAATGCTTATGTTCATATCTTTTTATTTGCATATGTAAGCATATCTGTAAAGAAAAAATCTTGTTACAATTTCAGGGTGGATTTTCTAGTCAAAGGATTAGTGGACTTTGAATTTTTCTAGGTATTTCTAAATTGTTCTAAAGTAAGTCACCCTATTTTACATTTCTGTCTAATGCAACAAGGTAGCAAAAGTTGCCCTGCTCCTCAGGACTGAAAAATTTCAAAAAGGCATCCTTCTCAAGGCTAACTCACATACATCAGCAGAGCATCTACTGGATTTTTCTTTTTTCCCTGTTTCTTTCCATCCCTGTTCAGGTTTGTGCCTTTGAGCAGTGCACAAGCTGCACAGCTGTGCTTAGTGGCTCTGCCTTGTCTGGCAGTGTTTATAAGAATGCCCATTTACCCCTTGTGTACATAGAATATTTTTATTTTTGCTTTCCTGTTAAATGAAAATCAATATATTTTAAGTATTAAAATGAATTTATGAGGGGAAAAAACTCTCTCATGTTTCATTTTATATTGTTTTATTTTCATGAAAGCAGATCCAATAATTGAGTACCTGTGTGCCTAGTACTACTCCAGGTGCCAGGGATACATGAGTAAATGAAATTTTTTAAAAAATGCCCTTGCTATTATGAATGTGCAATCTAACTTTACTATTTGCCTACAAATCTATGTATTTGTTTTAAAGCTTATATGTGATGAATTTTGGAGTCTCAGAGTTTATATTTCTAGTTGCTACTCTGCCATTTCAATAATTTTAGCTAAAAAGTGACCCTACGTGGAAGTACTCAGGATAGGCTCTGAAAGCGCCTATTTACAATGAGGTACAATTGTGTCATAAAGGACATTCTAGTGAATCTTTGCATTGGTGATTTTGTGTAATTATGCACAGTTGTTTGGAACCAAAGGCTCTAAAGTGATGACCTTATGCCATTTTCAATTTTGGAATGATTTCTAAGGATTTTTTTGAAGTCTACATTTTTCAGAAACTTCATGGCTTCATTGCTTGAAAATGATACAATGAAAGTACTTTGTATTAAGATATGCAGATCCATTTCCACCTCCAAAGCTTCTTTGAAAAATGGGGGAAAAAAATCTCCTTACTTGGAAATGCTTCATATTCATGAAACCAGTTTCAATGCAGAATAGTCTATTCTGTTAGCTTTTAGTTCTTTGATCAATGAAAATTGTTTCTTACCTGCTGTTTCTTCAGCCTTTAATTGTGGCCCAGTGCTTATTCAGAGTTTCTGTTTTAATTTGCATTTAATGAGTTCATTTTAAATATTTCTTTGTAGTAACCTGAATGGTTTCTCTCTTAAGTTTTGTAATATTAAAGAAGGAAATTTATACGACAGTTGGCTGATTTATGCTGCTGCGCACCTTCCTGGCTCATTTACTTCCCTTATAGGAGAGAGTCTTGGTTAAAAAGAATGGTGGTAAGGTTACCCTGTTTCCCCTAGTACTATATGTCCTAATTATCTGGGACTTCTACCAGGTGTATTCCTGTATCTATTTTCACTAAACAGAAACCTTTCTTCCCTG